GTTCGACCAACGTACGATCTACCCGCGAAAAGAGGCCTGTGTTTTAATACGCTTTAATGCAGATCGATATTTGACAGCTCGCAAAGGATTTTTGCGCCCTCTCGCCTTTCCCTTGTGTTTCTCTTTCTCCCTGTATTTTTTCTTCTTCTTTTTTCTTTTCCCTCTCTCCTCTCTCTTTTCTCTTTTTACGCGTACCGCATGATGACTGCGCGAATGCAACGCTTCGAGGTCACGAGCGCAATGTTTTTTGCGATGGATCGAGAAAACGAAGGAAGGAAACGAAGGAGAGATGGGGTGAAATATGGATATGGATGAGAGAGAGAGAGATAGAAAGGGAGAGGAAGAGGGAGAAAAAGGTGGGCGAATTGAAAAGTTGTAGACCGTGAACGAAATGTTTTAGAAAGAATGAGTTGTCTTTTTTTTTGTTTTTTTCTTTTCTTTCTTTTTTTTTTTTTTTTATATAATTTGTTTCTTTCTTTCTTCCTTCCTCCTCGTAATAGAGATTTGCGTGTTTTATATATGGTATATACGTATATAGATTTAATTCGTCGATCGTTCTAGACGCGTATCGCTTTTTCTCTTTCTTTTCAAATTCGTTTACGCACTCGACGTTTACACCCTGCGTTTGTTCACTGGGATGTCATCATCGATAACTATCCTTTGAAATAATTGATAAACGGTTGATGGGAGTCGAGGGAGGAAAAAACTCTTGTTGTCGTTAAAACTCATGTTGTCCTATTTCTTTGTGAAAAAAATATGTTTCATTCAAAGGTTTTTTTTTTTCTTTTTCTTTTTAATGGAACTTCGTGTTTTCGATACAATGAAAAAAGTAAAATTATCAAATAGCACAATTCACTTTTACGAAAAAAAGTATTGTACTCCTTATTTATTCATTTATTTCAATATTTTTATATTTTTTTATTACAAAGCACAATTCTTTTTCTTCGAATCGATGAAAAAAAAAAAACGATAAAAAGAGGATTTAAAACGTCAACCATTTAACAATCATCTCGAACAGCAATTAATTAAGATTCATAATTATATACACATACACAGGGTGTTTCGAAGCTTTTTCTTTTTTTTCGGAGAGAAAAACTTGCGGTCGCAGTTATTTTCAGAAATAGCATATTTATAAATTAGATGCAGCTTGAATACTTGCGAATCGTACAGGATTCCTTTTCTTTCGATACAACCGATGGCTAAGATACTAATGTTCATTTCTGTGTCCGTGTAACTGGCTATGTTAGCAGAGAATGGGAATGAAAGGAATTGCGCACGATTACGATCCTTTTGCATCTTTTTTTTTTTTTTTTTTTTATTTTGTATTCGTGTGCACTCGATAGGTACTCGCGAAGGATAAAGACATCGGAGATAATGGAAAAATTCAGTACAGTATCAAGGGTGGGCGAGGCAAGGGCAAGTTCAAAATTCACCCTACCACTGGAATGGTGTACTCTCAACGCGGATTCGAGGCTGGACAGGAGTACGAGATGATGGTGAGAACGATTAAAAATTAAAATAGATTTATCCATGTAGAAAAATATTCGATTATTAACTTATCCTAATTCATCCTATTAATAATAATATTTATAATAATATTTATATTAAATTAATAATAATATTTATTCTATTCCTTTACGAATCGTTAAATTAAATTAAATTCACTTCTC